CACGAAAAGGAATCATGAAGGTGTTTCGTGGAGCGCTTGTGGTGCTGAAAGGCGAAAAAATAGCTGCAAACTTGTACATGCTGAAGGGAGAGACTTTGGTAGAAGCAGAAGCCTCTGTTGCCTCATGTAGTTCAGATTCGACAATGCTATGGCATCAGAAACTTGGACACATGTCAGAACAAGGAATGGAAGTCCTTATGGAGCAAAAGCTACTTCCAGGCTTAACAAAGATATCACTTCCTTTGTGTGAGCATTGCATAACAAGTAAGTAGCACCGGTTGAAATTCAACACATCAAATTCTAGAGGTAAAAGTGTTCTAGAATTGGTTCACTCTGACTTATGGCAAGCACCAGTAACGTCCCTAGGTGGAGCAAAATACTTTGTCTCATTTATTGATGACTACTCCAGGAGATGTTGGGTGCACCCTATTAAGAAGAAGTCAGACGTGTTTTCAATTTTCAAAAACTTCAAAGCGCGGGTGGAACTTGATTCTGGAAATAAGATCAAGTGTTTCAGAACAGATAATGGAGGAGAATACACAAGCGAAGAATTTGATGACTTTTGCAGGAAAGAAGGCATCAAAAGACAGTTCACAGTGGCGAACACTCCTCAACAAAATGGAGTGGCAGAGCGGATGAACAGAACCTTGTTAGAAAGAACAAGAGCAATGTTAAGGGATGCAGGCCTAGAAAAATCATTCTGGGCAGAAGCAATCAATACCGCCTGTTATTTGGTGAATCGAACTCCATCAACTGCAATAGAGCTGAAGACACCAATGGAGATGTGGACTGGAAAACAAGCTGATTATTCAAACCTCCATATATTTGGAAGTATAATGTACGTGATGTACAACTCCCAAGAAATTTCAAAGTTGGATCCAAAATCCAGGAAATGCAAATTCTTGGGGTATGCTGATGGAGTAAAGGGGTATCGCTTGTGGGATCCCACTGCCCGTAAAATGATCATTAGTAGAGATGTTATCTTTGTAGAAGATAAACTACAAAGAAAAGAAGACGATGATAGCGTTGAAAAGTCAGAGACTACTCAGATACATGTGGAAAAAGAGTTTGAAGAAGGAGATTCTTCTGAAGCAGAACCAGCACATGATGAACAAGAACCAGAGAGTTCTGAAGCTCCAACAACTCGTCAATTAGATCGTGTGAGAAGACGTCCCAATTGGCACTCAGATTATGTTATAGAAGGTAATATTGCATACTGCCTTTTAACAGAGGACGGTAAGCCATCAACATACCAGGAGGCAATAAACAGCTCAGATGCTTCATTATGGATGATGGCGATGCAAGAAGAAATCGAAGCCCTTCATAAAAATAATACATGGGACCTTGTGCCACTACCACAAGGAAGGAAGCCAATTGGTAACAAATGGGTCTTCAAAATCAAGCGAAATGGTGATGATCAAGTGGAGAGGTATCGTGCAAGACTGGTGGTCAAAGGATATGCTCAAAAAGAAGGTATTGATTTCAATGAAATATTTTCTCCTGTGGTTCGACTAACAACAGTTTGAGTAGTCTTGGCAATGTGTGCTACATTGAATTTACATCTAGAGCAGCTAGATGTTAAAACAGCTTTTCTTCATGGAAATCTTGAAGAAGAAATTTATATGCTCCAGCCTGAAGGTTTTGAAGAAAAAGAAAAGAAGAACTTGGTTTGCAGGTTGAACAAATCTCTGTACGGTCTAAAGCAGGCGCCGAGGTGTTGGTATAAGAGATTTGATTCCTTCATTATGTGCCTTGGATACAACAGACTTAATGCAAACCCTTGTGCTTATTTCAAGAGGTCTAGTGATAACGATTTTGTTATATTACTGTTGTATGTGGATGACATGTTGGTTGTAGGACCCAACAAAGATCATATTGAAGAATTGAAGGCACAACTGGCTAGGGAATTTGAAATGAAGGACTTGGGATCAGCAAACAAGATTCAAGGGATGCAAATTCACCGAGACAGAAGTAATAGGAAGATTTGGCTTTCACAAAAGAATTACTTGAAGAAAATCTTGTCACGATTTAGCATGCAAGATTGTAAGCCAATTTCTACCACTCTTCCTATTAACTTCAAATTATCCTCCAGTATGAGTCCTAGCAGTGAAGAAGAGAGGATGGAGATGTCTCGAGTACCGTATGCATCAGCAGTGGGAAGTTTAATGTTCGCTATGATATGCACAAGACCAGACATTGCACAAGCAGTGGGAGTGGTTAGTCGGTACATGGCGAATCCAGGCAAAGAGCATTGGAATATTGTAAAGAGGATCCTCAGATACATCAAAGGGACCTCAAATGTTGCATTATATTACGAAGGATCAAACTTACTAATAAATGGTTATGTAGATTCTGACTATGCAGGGGATTTGGATAAAAGCAAATCTACTACAGGATATGTGTTCAAAATTGCTGGTGGAGCTATAAGTTGGGTTTCAAAATTGCAGTCAGTTGTGGCTACGTCCACAACAGAAGCAGAATATGTAGCAGCTACACAAGCCAGTAAAGAAATAATTTGGTTGAAGATGCTATTGGAGGAGCTTGGGCACAATCAAGAGTATGTCTCTCTGTTTTGTGACAGTCAAAGCGTCTTGCATCTAGCAAGGAATCCAACATTTCATTAAAGGACAAAGCACATACGAGTTCAGTACCATTTCATTCGTGAAAAGGTGGAAGAAGGAACGGTAGATATGCAGAAGATCCATACCAAAGACAACATAACATATTTCATGACGAAGGCAATCAATGCTGATAAATTTACCTGGTGTCGATCCTCCTGTGGCCTGTCAGAAACGTAAGCAACATGAAAGGTACAAGGTAGAAAGAATGGTGTGAAGATATGATTGTTCCAATCAAATCTTCAAGTGGGAGATTGTTGAAAATTGGCACACCAAATTGCATCAATTGTCAACATTATGGGTGGCAATTTGGTGGCATTAATGGGGTGGCAAAATTGGTCAAATTTGGCCACTAAATTGTTGAAAATTTTGGATGGTAAAACTATGCAATTAGTCATTATAATTTAGGGTATTTACAAATTAGTCCTTAAAGCTTCAACTATAAATACCCTAGCTCATTTAGCTTCAAAACCATCCCAAAGAATTCTAGCTTTCTTCTAATACTAGAGAGAATTTAGAGAGTTTCTTGAGAGTTGTTTTCTCCTTTTTTATCAAGAGAGAATTATCATTGTTTTCTCCTTGGTAGATCGAGAGATGTTGTAATTCCTATTTTCTCATAGTGAAATTCTTCTACCTTTGCCCGTGGTTTTTTACCCTAAATTTTTAGGGGTTTTCCACGTAAATTTTGTGTCTCTTTAATCTTCATTTTTATTTTCTCAAATTATCAGTTGCGATTTTGCTCTATCCGATAGCCGTCTTCCGCAACACAACATTCTAGAAAAGAGTCTTCTAGTATGTTATTAATCAAGAAATGTGGCAGCAAACAACTTTGAGTCAAGAAACAATAAGTAACACAAAGGTGGCTCTAAACACTTGGCAAGCAAATGACAAATTCTATTACGTCAAGGAAGCTTAGGCGGTTATTGGTGTAGCAAAATAGTTAGCAAACAAGGCAGTTAATTGACCCTATATATACGTGCTCTAGCTTAATTTTTAGGATGTGTGAGTAACGAGTGAAAGAAAAAATATTAAAGAGAATTGAGAGAGAGTTTAGCAAAGCTATAAGATGATTGTAAATTAGCCACAACTAGTATTATAATATTGAAGTAGTGTCGTTGTAACGTATTTTATTTCGTATCAATAAAAAATCGAGTGTTATAAATTATCGAGTGCCCATCTACTCTTCCAACGAGATAAAGAGTCATGGATAGGCTCCAAGAAACTCTGGAATAGAGACAAGCAAAGCCAATAGATATCAGCAGTTTAAAGTTTTAAACAGTAAAAAAGATAAAACCCACACCTAAAATCAGGAAATATCCGGTACCGAGGACAGTGCACATTTAGTGACAAATACATTTAAATTCAGGAGCTCAAATAATAATTCATACCAAAACGAGACATATATGACGATTTTATCGAAATATCACCAGTACAAATAATAATTATCTGTCAATTTTTTTTTTAATTTTATCAATCTAGTCATTCATGCCTTTGAAGGTTTCTGTCCGAACTAGCACCACGTCATGAAAGGCGCAGATCACCATTTGTACCTTATCCAAATTGTTGTCACGTCAAGATAGGCACAAGTTACCATCTGCGTCTTTCAGGGGATTCTGACACGCGTACGTAAGATACAAATCGCCATCCGCACATTTCCTTTATTACCCCAACCGTCCACCTTCCACAATTATAGAAAACCTGTTTACCTCTCTCCTTTTCCTATAAATATCCTATCCTCTCTTCCTTCAAACACAACCAAACACAACCTCCAAACCATATTCAAATCTCAAATTCTCTCATTCTTCTTAGTATCAATCTTTTTATTAAAAAAGTAAAATATTTTTATTGTATTATAATAAATTCATAATTTATTGCCCGGGCCCCGTGGCAAGATATAATTTACTGCTACTTTTTAACGCTTTTCATTGTATGTATCTTGTTTTAGTTTCCAAACATGCAACCTTCGTTATCGATCCAATGGCATTTGATTCGTGCTTAACTGGTCTTTGACTGATAAATGCCTATTTCTTTCGACAGTTGAGTTGTACACTGTTTGAAAAATCTAGGAAATGTTGCCAAAGTTTACAGTTTCACAAACAAATAGAATAAATAGCCATTAAGAAAGATGAATTCATTCAATGGCTATGAAACAAGAAACCCTTTTCCTGGTTTCAAAAGGTGTTAATAAATGGATGACTTTAAAGTCCATAGTTTTAGTTTACTTCCCTATTTGCAAGAGGAAGTTACAGCAATACAGAATGAACAAGCAGCCCACTATAATCCCATCAAGGTTGAAAAACCTATGGTTGTAGCAGGTCAGGCTTTCTCACACTTTATTTCCTATATCTATAAAATTCTATGTCTCTATATCTCTACCTGCTTCCGATGATTCATCGCATCCTCGGTTAATGGCGTGCAGTAGGGCTCCGTACTCCACCCAAGTTCTCAACATAGGACGCCTTGTTTGTCACTACAGTTGGTTTTTCCGAGTTTCCATCCTCGTCTGTGGATATCTCATCTGTTGCATCCGCCTTTTCATCAAAGTCATTTTGATCTAAACTCCAAGTAAGTAAATCCGAGAGTGTCTTCGTTCTCACTACTTCCGTATTGATTCTTGGACTTGTAGTCACCGAATTAGGCTGGCTGTCATTCTTTAAATTGTTCCGTTTGCCTGGTTGTGGATTTGGATTTTGGGACATATTATCAGCAAGGAGGACATCTTCGATTCTGGACAAGACTGTAAATGCCAAGCTCTCCAATATCCTTGAATAGCTCTCTAGGAGAGCCTGCCCTACATCCTGTGATTCGAACATGAAATCCTTAACAATAGTACAAAACAACATTGCAGTGCTTAAACAAAGAGGGACATTCCGACATTGCAGTTCGGCAAAATTACTTACACGGTTGTATTGGATCTTGCTGATATCTAGCGAAGATTGCGGCAGTCCCGGGAACCGATGTTTGATGATGAGTAAGATGGTCTCAGCTCTCTCCTCAAATTGTTCTCTCTTCTCGAAGCTAACAGCGGAACCCCAAGTTGATTTTCCATCCTTTTGGGTCATCTTCCTCTTCCATATGACTATAGATGCCTCAAGTCTATTCTTGAGGTCTAAAATCTTGAGCTCGGACGACAAGTCCAAAGTCGAGAAAAACTGATCGGGATCAAAGAATTCGACAGTGATACTCCGATAAACCGCATCACCTAGACTAGCCCTCCCATTCTAACAAACCATCAATAAATTGTGATCAGGCAGGGATTATCGAAGCAGATTTTGATGCAACATTGTAATATATTGGAAAAATTTCAAGCTTTACCTTTGGGAGTTCTTCAATGTAGTTTTCAGGGACCTCCATCTCTGAGAGAACTTGAGCATTAATAGACATTGCTGCTTTAAGCACTTGAGTCACAGATTCCTTTTGGCTCTGCAGATTTTTTCTGCACTTATCCGAGAGTCCATCTTGGGGAACTTTAACAGTGGGCAGCCACCACTTATCATCTTTTCTCTTGTTTTTTCCCTTCTCCGATTCCGGGGCATCTTTTGACAAATAATAGAATTCATTTTGATCCTTGAAGTGATCTAGACTTTCCTGACCATTGTAAGTTTCCATTAAATCAGGTACTAGTCTGTTGCTTAATTATAATCAAAGAGGCTCAAATTAGCTAAAGAAGACCATATATAAACGCATCTATGTCCTTACGATCAGCATCGCATCAAGTTTCCGCAGGGCCGGAATGTTCATATGGAGATCTATTCGTTGCTTTGTGACCATTATCTGCAAAAACAAGAAGCGAAAGAAAATGCATGCATATTGAAAATGTATATAGATATATTATAATTGCTCCGACACAGGTAAACTGGTAAAGAGAGGGAACGAGGGATCAGATACCTCCATGTTTGTTCCATCCTTGCTCTTCTGTTGGCATGGAACAAGTTCAACAACATGATCAGCTACAGACAATAGCCAATCTATTTCTTTTCTCCACCTCGCTTTCCTGTCAGGTGTCATAGGCTCTAAGCGCGATTGTTCACCGAACACGGAAGCTGAAGGTCATTCGGAAACGAAAATTCGGATCAGTCAACATAAACTGATTCCCATATCTCAATTAAGCTACCATATAGGAATAGAAGAGACTACAAATAGGTCTAAAAAAGGAGGAAATACCAGCAAGGTTGGTAATGGCGTTTGACAGTGCTAAAGCTGATGAAACTCCTTTTCCTCCACCAGACATATCCTCACCTAAGAGTAATTTTGCAAACTTTTCCTTCATCTGCTCCATATCTGAATTAAAAATCATTGCAGAGTTTTTACAACCAGCAAGCAATAAACTATTTGCAGGAACCGAGAGATACATATGTTATCCCCTTGTACCATAAAAATACAACAATGAGAACAATGACGGTATATATATATATATGAAACTTGCCAGTTAATAGCTGTTTTCTCTGATTTGGAAGGCAGCAATCAGTTCTTCCATGGTTAGATTCGTCTGGGGACACCTTTCGCTTGAAGGGTTGGATCCCTTATCTAAAGGCGCATCTCCAAATTTAGAAGCACTGTCAATGCTCATACTCTTTACATGTTTTGCTTTGCTCTCACCTGTACCTTTGGAATTCAACAAATTAGACCAAGTAGTGTGTTTTTCTTGAACCATGTTCAAGTTTTGTTTTTGTTTCGGGTTCCAACAAGAACTGGAAGCCAAGGAGTTAACGGAAGAGGGAATAGTATTGTTGTTGTTTTGGTGCAATGGAAGAGGGAGAAAGGAAGGAAAGAAGTAAGAGTCCCCTCTTCCAAATGATTATGGGGACAAAGTATGGTTCTTGGGGAATTTAAAGTTTTGTTGGGTTTTGTCCATTCATGAACAATGTAATTGAGACCAGTGGGGTTAAAAGGAGATAACAAATTTAGAGAATTATATATATGTTGAAGGCTCTAGTTTCATTTCATTTATCAATGGTGTTATGGATTGGATGGTTCATTTTCGATTTCAGAGTCAAATGCCTGCTAAAAACCAGGGAGGATTCAACAGAATGCCCACATATATGTTGAGGATGACGAACGACCAAAACTGTAGCTGCTTCCTTTCATTACTCCATATATAAAAGAGAAACTGTAGGTGCTTCCCAATTTCATTACAAAAATCAGAGCTCCCCCCCCCCTCCTCCTTCAATTTCAGCCTTCTGCAGACATGATCCATTTCAACTTGTCATTTGCTCTAGTTTTATTTTTCCTAAATCCTAATATACAGATTCTTCTTAAGAAACTAAATAATTAACAAAAGTTGATAATCTTTAAAACACTTATGTTACTGTAAACCATGTATAAATTGTTTCCAAATTCTAATTAAATCAAATAATTATTAACTCCATTCTACCTTCTGACAATTGGATATTCTTATTAGGATTAAAATATAAAATAGTCCTTAAAATTTATAAGTTGGATTAAGTTAGTCCTTAATTTGTTTTGGAAGGGTGAACGCTCATAAAAAATTATTTATTGGGGTAAATTATGTATTTGATTACTCATCTATTCTAGTATTTTTATTTTAGTCACTCAGTTATTTTTTTAAAATTTATATCTAAAATTAAATTTCGTTTTTATTTTGATCATCAACCATTAATTATTTTAACGAAAATAATTATTTATCCCGATATAATAACAACTTTAATCGCTCAACTATTCTAAAAAATCATATTTAACATTAATTTTTATTTTTATTTAGTTCATTGACGGTTAATTTTCTAATAAAAATAACTACTTATTTTGATATAATAACAATTTTAATTTTAAAATTCATATATTTTATTAATCATTGCTTCAATCAAAATAACCCATTAAATACTGGCCTCTCTTCGCTTTCTAGGCTTTGAAATTCCCACCTTACTGTCACAATTCAAACAACCATGGAATCCATTGGAGTACTGATGGCTTGCCCCATGAACTCTTACCTCGAACAACAACTCGAGAAGCGTTTCAAGCTCTTCAGGTTCTGGACAGTGCCGGACAAATCATTGTTTCTGGCTTCTCACAAAGACTCCATCCAGGCGGTCGTCGGAGACGCCTCTTCCGGTGCCGATGCTGAGCTGATCGAGGCTTTGCCCAAGCTGGAGATTGTTGCCAGATTCAGTGTAGGAATTGATAAGATAGATTTGGTTAAGTGTAAAGAAAAGGGCATCCGAGTTACCAACACCCCTGACGTTTTAACCGACGACGTGGCGGATTTGGCGATTTGGGTTGATATTGGCGGTGTTGAGGAAGCTTTGTGAGAGTGATCGGTACGTGAGGAGTGGCAAGAGGAAGAAAGGGGACTATGTTTTGACCACTAAGGTTCGAACTTTTTTTTGGCATCATTGGGCAGTTTGGGTTTATTTTATAATATGTAGTTCGTTGAATTCGTTTCAATTTGTTGGTTTTTTATGTTTCAATGATGTTTTTAATGATATTAGCCTTTCTGGACTGGTCTTAGATTATCTCGAATGTGTTATTCGTTAGTGTTTATATGGTGGTGCTTTTACTTTTCAAAACTCAGTAATTTTTAATGGCAAAGAACTCATTTTGTTTTGAATTGGTACCAAGTTTTTCTTTGTTTTGTTTGTTGCTTGAAGTGCATTTTGCGCTTCTCATTAGCGGTTAAGTGGCAGGCAATGTAGTCAGTGTTGTTTTTTTTTGTCTGAAATAGAATTTGATTTTAGAATGATGTTTTCCAAAATAATTTCATGTATGGAAGCAATGAAGGATGCTTGCATACTTGTATAAATGGAAGTGTGTGTGTGTGTAAATATATATAGCTCCACTGAAAAGTATATTTCTTTTAATTGTTTTTTCATTGAAAAGGTACATTTGTCACAAATCCTATTTGAAGTTCGTAATGAATTCACTGCACATTTTGCATGCTGAGAAATAAAGATAGATGCTGGTTTCGTCATTCCTGGTTTTAGATTGAATCTGTATATTTATATATCATAATAGTTGTTTTCATCGTGTATATCGACTCTGGGTCCAAAAGAATCTGGATACTGAAACCTTTCTTATACTATTTGTAGTATACGCGTTTAGTTTCAGATGCAACTGTATGCTTGTCATCTTGGTTGGTTGGTTGTCTCTCAAGCTTCTTGAGTAATTGCTTTGTGATGGCTGCATGAATTGATTTGGTGTCATCGGCATCACAAATAATCTGCATATTGTGCTCGATGATCATGCTAGAATTCACCCAGTGGTACTAATTTCCTCTCTTTGTATTTCAGCATTTATTAGTATATTGCAGTAACTTTTAGTGGCCTATACTGATTTATATGATGAACTAATGCTTTACTAGGGTAGTCATATTGAAAAGGAATAGTAACTTTTTGAATAATTCTTGTGCTTGCCGTCTTCTTCAAATTGAGATAGATATGGCATACAATCATCACTTCAACACTTATAGTTCTTCAAATTGGATACGGTACTGTTTTATTCGCTTTAGTAGAACTGGGGAGCTAATAATAATAGTTTATATAGGGATGGATGTAGGATTTCATGTAAGGGGGACGAAGTTGTAAAATTTAAAGGGATAGCTTATAAAGTATTGGGGGGCAAAAACTTATTTTCAATATAAAATAAAAAGAAAATATCTAAAATATATATGAATTTAAAATTTTCAGGGGAACGACCGGCCTCACCCACCCCTCGCTAGTTCCATCCCTGATTTATATGCCCACACAATTCTCAAATGATTGACTGCTCACCTTTCTGCTTTTCATGAGGTTTTAGTGATTTAGTCAGTCTTTCATGCCAGTGGGATGATAGTCTATAACTACTTTGTCCAAGCTTATACTAAAAACCATTTAATTGATTTACATGCACAACTACAACTACCTGCTCAAGAAGACTACAACGGTGCATGCATATTGTGTTGTTGATTTTGCTTTTTGAGGTGCTTTGCTCACCTTTGAAAGTTTCCTTCTCAACTTTCAAAGGAAGAGAATTTTTTTATGAGATTATATTCTCATCATAAGATTAAAAATAAGAAGGCTAATCTTTTGTTGTTTTAGATTGTGAAAATGAATTTTTCTATTGAGCTTGGTGTTTATTTTCTTTGAAAATTTTGAAGAAGCTGTATGAAATAATAGTGACTTTTGATAACCATTTTTAGGGTCTATTATATATGTTTTCATCTTTTTGGTAAGAGAGACATTGAGATCGAATTGAATCTTGATTAAACTTGGTTCTTCTTGTATATGCGTCATATTACGTTAGATTGGATGGTACCAGATTAAAGAGTTTCCATCCTTTTCCCTTTTCACTTTGTTTTCCTTTTCATCATTTCAGTTCACTGGGAAAAAAGTTGGCATTATCGGTCTGGGAAGGATTGGTACGACAATTGCAAAGAGAGCTGAAGCATTTAGCTACCATATTAGTTACCACTCAAGAACAAAGAAACCAGATATCAAATACAAATACTATCCTAGCGTTGTCGAGCTGGCTTCCTGTTGCGGAAGACGGCTATCGATAGAGCAAAATCGCAACTGATAATTTGAGAAAATAAAAATGAAGATAAAAGAGACACAAAATTTACGTGAAAACCCCCTAAATAATATAGGGTAAAAACCACGAGCAACGGTTGAAGAATTTCACTATGAGAAAATAAGAATTACAACTTCTCTCGATCTACCAAGGAGAAAACAATGATAATTCTCTCTTGATAAAAAGGAAAAAATAACTCTCAAGAAACTCTCTAAATTCTCTAGTATTGGAAGAAAGCTAGAATGCTTTGGGATGGTTTTGAAGCTAAATGAGCTAGGGTATTTATAGTTGAAGCTTAAGGACTAATTTATAAATACCCTAAATTAAATGACTAAATTATGATTTAACCATTGTCCAAATTCAACAATTGTGTGCTGCCAATTTGCCTAATTAGCCACCCACATGTTTTTTTGATAGCCATCATATTTTGATTTTGAACAATCTCCCACTTAAAGATTTGATTGGAATAATCATGTCTTCACACCATTCTTTTTACCTTGTACCATCATGTTGCTTACGTCTCTGACAGGCCACAAGAGGATCGACACCAAGTAAATTTATCAGTGTTGATTGCATTCGTCATGAAATCTGCTATGTTGTCTTTGGTATGGATCTTCTGCATATCTACTATCCCATCTTCCACCTTTTCACGAATGAAATGGTACTTAACTCGTATGTGTTTTGTCTTTGAATGAAATGCTGGATTCATTGCTAGATGCAAGGCGCTTTGACTGTCACAAAATAGAGAGACATACTCTTGATTGTGCCAAGCTTCTC